ATTAGCCGACTCAATTAAAAGAGCGTAAAATGAATTTATGTAGTCTGAAGTGCGACCGCTTGCGACGGTGGTCATCAGGTGCCGTGGCCATAAAATGACGCTGCCTCGCCGTCTAGCGTTGTGGGAAAACTCCTCGAGCAGACCTCGCATCTGTGTATCTATTGGCTTGAGGTGTGGTGCGCGTTATATACTCATTTTATTTCACCTGGCAATGAAACGGCCATCCATGCGATTGGTTGCCTACGGAACAGATAAAATAATCAAAGAGCGAGCGGGACAGAGCGCCAGCGAGCGAGCGAGAGCCAAAGAGAAGCGCGCACACACACACACACAAGCAGCAGCATGCGCACGCTCTCGGAGAGCAGCTGTGTGTGTGTGTGTGTTTGCAAGTGGAAATGTTGGAATCGAAACGAAACGAAATTATATACCAGTCGTGGCGGTTGGCTGAGAGGCGGGGTGGGCTGTGGGAAAAGTTAAATTATTTATACATAGAAAGAGAGATACATTTGTGGCTGGGGGGCTGAGTCATAATCGAATGGGGGATTTCAGCCAATCGCAGGCTTGTTGTCTATCCATGTAGATTAACTGAGGAGTGGGCAGCTAACGATACGTGACCACTAGCCGATGCTGATGCATTTACTTCATTTATTCTACACTCATTTTATTTGCGCATAAATCGAAATGTGTTAATCAATTCAGCTGTCCGCATAGCACACTCCGAGCACAAGCCGCTTAAGTATCAATTACGTGACCAGCCAGCCATCAAAGCAATCAAAGCAATCGGAGATAAGCAATCGAAGATAAAGGTGCACTAATCCCACTCCCATTACTGAGGTTGCTGCTCAAATTCGCGTGTAAATCGGAGCGCAACAACATGTCAGCGCTTCAGACAACAGAGCGGCGCCCCTCTCTCTCGCGCTCTTTCTCCCTCTCCGTGGCGCACCCCTCGCTCTTCCTTAGTTAAGCCTATTAAATGCCCCCAAAACACTTTGTTGTACCGTCTTTTGGTTTCTCGCTTTTGGGCCAAGTTGCTTTTGCCCGTTTATTTGTTTGCCTTTTGTGTTTGTCTCTTTATTTGTAATAAATATGTTTGGCCAAAGCGAGACGAGTGTGTGGAGTGTGTGAGGGGGGAATGTCTGTGAAGTTATTAATTTCACAAGTTTTGTCTCAGTTTTTCCACACTCCTTGGCGATTATCGGGTTACATAATTGTCGCATTGTATCCTCTCCCCCATTATTACGGACTGTAATTATCGCATACATCGAATGTGTGTCTTTCTACTTCGATTTGTAGGGTTTCCAGCAAGGATGAGTGCAAAAGCAATTCGAAGAGTCAACCCGAGGGAGGGTCATTCTGTGCCGGTCTGTAATTGAGTAATTTCCACTTGAATTTCCCCTTTCAGTGTGTGTTTTCCTTTGCGACTTTGTGTGGGATTTCAACAGATTGAAATGAAGGACTTCCTCCACAATCGGGTATCTATTTCCCTTCGCCTTCGCCTTTGCCTGTGGTCTTGGCTCGGCTTTAGGGATTTCTGTGGTGGCATTACATTTAATATAACAAGAATTTAGTTTCGTCTGGTGCGGTGCTGGCTGGTTGGAAAATATGCTAACAACCCGCGCCACAGATCAAGCGCTTTCTGCACCACAGCGTGACGCGTGTGAATTTCAGTTTGAATTCGAAATTGGTAACAATGATGCGGCTCTTTCTGCTCCACAACTCCACAACTGCACAACTGTCATGGAGAGGCAGGGAGGGAGGGGAGTGTGGTATGAGTGGTGTATGGAAAAACAAATAAAAGCTGACAAATACTCAAAGAGCACAGACCAGAGGGTAATAATGATGCGGCAGTCATGAGAGAACGTGCCTCCAGCCTCCAGTCTGTCCCCGTACCTTGATAGAATTTCAATTACAATTTTCGTTGAGCTGCAATAAAAAAAACAAAAATTAAATTTCCATCTAATCACAAAAGCAATTAATCATTGACACTATTTAGGCGCTTTTTTGTATGCTTACTAGAGGGCAGAGGAGAAGCAGCATCGACAGAGACGAATAGAGAGCTTACAGCAAATGGGTTATGGCCCTTTTGTTATGCTGATGCCTTTTGTTGGATCTCCAGATACAGATACAGATACAGATACAGATACAAATGTGTCTGTCTTTGCCACGTAATTACAATTCTTTTGGCATGTATAATAATAATAACTTACCGCGGTCATCCACACACAAAGATCCTCTGTATAAAAAGATATTTTGTTGTTGTTGCTGTATCTGCATCTCGACGGCATCCGTGCGCTGCCTGAGCGACATTGAATTATCACATTGCTCTCATCACACAAAACGCCTCAATCCGGTGTTGGGTTGGGTACGGCACGGTACGGCACGGTACGGGCATGGATTGGTTGACAAACTACAAAATAATAATGTGTGGCATTCATTGTCAGTCAAAGGAGGAGGGAGAGTCAGGAGAGCCAGGAGGAAGGGGCCGCCAGTTATTGTCATGCAGCGACAAGCGACAAGCGACAAGATATTTACACAATTACTCCGAGGGGCAGGCAGATTTCCATTTCCATTTTGAATTTACGTACAAAGCTAATTTATCATTTCGTTCAAACTGTAAAAAACTTCGTAATGTTTTGTATGCCCGCTGAATGGGGCCAAATGATGGGATGCCAATATTTTTGAGTTCAGTTCATGACTGGGAACAGGTCCAGAGAGCTAAAGACGATTGGGGCTGGGCTGGGCTGTACGCACAATAAAAACCTTTTGTCCATCCACTGCGTGAGATACTTTCGGGGCCTGGCCAACTGCAATGCAGGAGGATGGGGTATGGACATGTGCAGCAAGTGCCTAATTATGTGGCCAAGTCAATTTGTTCAGCGTTCGAGGTGCTGGGGTCTCTCCTCGCTGCTTTTGTTTGACTTTTCTCGCTGCGGGCAAACAATAAATGTTTTGTAGTGATTAAAAAGTAGTGTGAAATCGATTATATGCACACAGACAGACAGACAGACAGACAGACAGACAGACAGCGAACCCCTTTGCCCTAGCTGGACCGGATATGCCCAATCCCGCTCTGGCGAGTGTCAATATTGAATCGACTTTAGCGATTCCACATGTTAATTCCTGTTAATCGTTGCGTGTCGGCTATTTTTGATCTCGCAACTGCTCGGGGGACATGGGACTGTTGCCCAATGCTTGATACTGATAGATCCAACGATGTGACTTTACTAATATTTGATTTCTTGAGTATGTCCCTCTACTTCCGCGAACAGTGGGAAGACCAATTGTGACTAAAAGTCAAAGATCTGCAGTGCCACAACGCAAAGGAAAGACAAATCTCTGAGCAACATTTACCAAATGCTGTCAACAAATTACGAAGGAGACCCTGGAGGAGAGACAAGCCCAAGCTGACATTATTTCGCTGCTTCAGCAAATCAAAAAGTAACGAAACTTTGAGCGCCCTCAGTGGCGCCAGTACGGAGCTTTAGGTACATGTATGCCGAAAGCTTTCACTGTTGGCAACATTTGGAGCAACATTGCTGGCGCAACATCACTCGGCAGCACTCGGAGAAACATTTGAAGCTACACTTCTGGCGCTTTGCAGCATTCATTAATTTCGTATTAATTATTCTTACTCCTAAGAAGTTATTCTTATGCTTCCTCTCAATTATTTGTATACTTTTTTATCACAAGTACAATTAGATTCCCAGCCAAGAAAATGTTCCTAAATAAATCCACAAATTTAGCTCCGTTTGTTTAAGCTGCCAGCCCAAAAGTATGCCTTAAAATGTACATCCAACAGTTAATGGCAATAAAGAAAAGAGCATGCAGAATTTTTGTAACGGTTCCAGTAGCTGCAGGCAGTTTGTTACGATTAGTTATTGTATGTAAAACCACATGCTGTGCTGCCCCAACAGAAGTGTATACAATGTGCTGCAATTAGGGCCATATCTCGCGCAATAAATTCCCCCCCATGGGACTGGCACTGATACAGAACGAGCCTCCTCTCACCCAGCCCCATGGGAAGAACCTATCTAGCACCTCGATTGCACAGCCCTAAAACCCGCATGGCTAACACCAAACGAGACCATTAAATATTATCGAAATATTAAATATCGATCTGTGTGCCCCGCTGTCGCGGTGTTGACATTGAGATCTGACGCGTTTCGTATAAATTCGTAGATAAAATTAATGAATCAATGAATGGCTCTGCAAATATGCACTGTGAGAAAAAACGACAAGTTGATGAGTGTTAGATGAGTGCCCAATTAGATGAGTTTGCCCAAAAATGTGAAAGATCACAGCAATTCATTGAGCGCGCGGAGGTGCAAAGGGGCGGGAATTCCCTTGGTGACAATCGCCGATACAGTACGTGCGGCGGTAAGGGGAGGTAAATCTGTATAATCAAAACAGAAAACGAAAAAACGCGACGCCAACAAGTGGCGGGAGTGCAGTGACGACTGTGGTTGTACCCTGGAATGGGTGGCAATGGCACAGGTTATAAGAGAAACTAAAAGAGAGACAAGGAAGATGACTTAAACAGTGGAGCCTTGTCTCATGGCTGCTTAGTAGCTGTAGCTACACTTAGTTGCACTCTTTAGTTTTAAATCCTTAGCCCAAATGCACATCCACAGCATATACCCCTTGCCTGTTCGCCTCTTGTATAACCGCACAACGATTTGTATTGTTTTTTTTTTTGGTTTTTTTTTATGGCCTGCCTTGTGCCATTCGCGATTTATTTGATGGGTGGTTTGTGTTGAGTTCCGTGGCTGGTTAAGCGGCGACAACGGTTAGTTTACTCTCCATCAGTCGGCCGATCGCAACGGTTTAGCTGGCACACACGAAGCAGTGCAACACCCCCCATGCAGAGATACGCTACGGAAACAGAACAGCAGCCGACACAGAGACAGACGAGCCAGTGGAGAGTCCGTTACGCAGCGCGACACGCAGTGCCCAGTGAAGTTCAATTCAGAATTTAATTCGAGTACAATACAATTAAAGTGTAACAGTGTAAAAGAATGTCGGTGCAACAACAACTACCGCAGCAAGCAGTGCAAGCAGTGCCCACAAGTCAACGGCAAAAGACGGCAGTGACAGGAACACAAGCAGCAGGAGCAGCAGGAGCAGCTGGAGCCATGGCCAGTGCAAAATCAAAGCCCAAGAGGTGCGAATTTATATTTATTTAAATTGTATTTGACCCACATAAGCTGCCACGTTGCGTATACGTCACGTGATCAAGTGTATTTTTGGCCAACCCGTCAAGAGCCAAGAGCCAAGAGCCAAAGAGTGCCGCTCTCTTGCCAAAAAAGAGCGCAAGTGTAATGCAGCTGAGCGTACACAAGTGTTCAAGTGTCTTGCCTGCCTCCTTGGCTATTTGTTTATGCACATTGAGTCTTCGGTTTTAGCCAACCAGTTTGACGCCTCGAGCCGGTTCATCGAGCTGCTGCGGCTAGACGAAAATATTGTGCCAATAAATCATGTGGCCAAGTCGGGACCGAAGGCTCGAGGTGTTTGCGATTATGTGGCACAGACTAGACCTGGGGGGGACGGGTGGCTTTATGGATCAACAGTCTGCAAATCCATAAACAAAAGCTATCAATCCATCGAGCATTGATTCCGCTACGCTTGGACTAGCCCGAATCGAGGATTTCATTGAGCTTTTATTTTATTTATGTATTAATTGAGACTGAGTTAAATTGCTGCTACCTCAATCGATGGCAGCAGCAGCTTTTGTTCAAACTTCAAATAATACGCCGACGGATCGTCTATGCAAATCATTGAGTGCATGTCTCATACGGTGCGCGTCATAAGCAGAAGCGATAACAAAGTCAAGGCCGCCGCCGCTGCCTTGCCTACCGATCGAACTTTTCCCATGCTGAACAGTGACGTGCAAAGTGTGTGCCGTGAAGTGTTATCTGTAATGAGTTCAAAATCAAAAAATTCCTCCCCCCAGACGGCCGCTACGGAGCTTTCCGCTTGAGTGTCGTCGGGTGGAAGTGGGTGAGGTTATGGAATCGTTGGGTAAGTTTTCCAATCAGGCCTTGAAAGGTAAGTATTAAGCAAATCCCCTTTTACCGCTCTCCTCCCTATCTCCGCCCAATTGGGTTCTTATCACTAAACGGGGCATGGCACTTGAAACGATTTAGTTTGAGCGCTGAAGTAGGTGTAAAGTAACACTGATTAACGGGTACTTAGCGCCAGTTTAGTCATGGTTCTTAATTGCTCCGATAATCATGTTAAATATGGAACAATGTTTTGTTTTGTTTTCCTTTCACTTAGCCCGAAAATCTCCAACCAAATAGCGAATAGCTCGGTAATAGCACTGCTTGTTTGCTCTGTGCAGTGTTTGCTGCTTGCTTTGAACTGCTTGCAGTGGCTCCACTTTGCGCTGCCTGTGAGAGACTTTGCTTTACACAAAACAAATGTTTGCATATATTTAATGGCAGATTTAACGCCAAGAGCAAGACTGTCTATCTATCGCTCTGAAAAGCTCTCATCGCTAGCATCAACAAAAAAATCTAAAGCTGAAAGCTAAAAGCTGACGCTGAAGCTGACGCTGACGCTGGCGCTGGCGCTGACGTCGACGCTAACGCTGATAAGCGTTTACCAACAGCGCTGCTGCTAGCAAGCAGTCGCCTTGGTGAGTTCGCCGTCGCTGAAGCGAAGCCAGCGCAGACGTCGCCACTTGGCGTTCATTCACAGTCGATCCCCGCCTCATAGTACTGGTAGAGCCGCAGGCCCTGGGCTTTCAATAGCAAACAAACGATCGAATCGAATCGAACATAGCGCAGGTTAGTTCTACAGTGCGTGGCTTGCTTTTGCGAGCAACTCTGAGTGATTCTGCGAGTGTTCCAGTGTGTGTGTGTGAGTTTGAGTGCGAGACGTTAATTAATTAGCAAACTTCTCTTAAGTTAACTTCAATTTGCTAATTAAAATAAAAGAGTAAGCAAAGCGAACGCCGTCGCGCAGCAGCAGCGCACAATTTTGATATAAAAAGGTTTGCCAGTGCACTGACAGAGACAAGTGTGAGTTTTTTTTATAGCATATTCACGCGTTTCGAAATTCGCGCGCTTTACTTTCGGACTGCTTCCTGGGTAAACGTCTTAACTGTATTTTAAGCCACATTCAGCTGAGTTGTAAAGTAATCCAAGCAGTGTCTGTGTGTGTGTTTGTGTGTGTGCGTGAGAGATTGGAGATGTAAATTTATGCAAATATTGAGTTTTGGGCTTTTTCCATTCTGCACAACTTTCCATTTCGAATTTTGTGGACTCAGCTGGGGGGATTGAAACGATAGATAAAGGTCTAGAGCTCATGGCGCTGAGTGCGCCTTGGAATAGTGATCAAACAGTTGGGCGGAGCAATCGGAAAAAAAAAAACACCTAAGCACATTGCTTGCACATTTATTAATATTGTTGTTTATCAACTACCTGCACTGTAGCATTATTGACTTATAATTATGTGCATTATTTAGCATTTAAAGCCCGCAATGCACATATCAGCGGGCGGGCCTGTAGCACCTGGAAAACCAATCGACAATCAACGATCCCACAATTACGCAAGCAGCAGGCAGCAGCAGCAGACTCTGTAATTAGACTTGGGGGAACTTTATCATGGAATAGCCATAAGCTTTGTATTCTGGCCAAGACACAGCGTGCTCCGATTCGACTCTGTTCCGCATTTGACATTCATAAAACACATTCGAGACAATATTCTAGCGATGTTCTGGCGATGTTCTCTTACCGGAGAATGTTTATTTATAAAAATTCAGAATTATGCCATGTCTTTTTGGGGTGTTTGGAGGCCCCACTCTATAGGCTGTGCTGCTCTACTTTCCGTGTATTTATAAGCGTTTATTTTTCTCTTTTTCTTATATACTTTTTACTCGTGTGTACGGGCACTGCTTTGGGTACTGCTTGCTGCCTGCCTGCCTGCTGCTGCTTGCTGTTGTTTTTGTATACTAATTAGAAGGCGGCTGGCTCCGGGCACGGGCAAGTGTTATCAAAATTATCATTGAAAAATAAGTATGGCCACACGATTGCCATGGCGGGGTCACTTGATTCTATAAAATAGAAATGCCTGATAACTAAACAGCTGCCACACAGACACAAAATTCACTTGTATGCATGTTGCCAACTTAGTTTCTGGAACTTGGATCATGCGATTTGTGCTCCATTGATAATTTTGCTGAGACTTTAAGCGCACTTTTGCCTGGGTAAACCACTCGAAAATATATTTTTATCTATAGCCATTCAAAATGTACTCCCACGAGAAACACACAAAAAAAACGAAACCAGAGAAAAAACAACACAAAAGCGAAACCCAAAGCAAACTTGAATCAGAAACAGAATTCTTTCGGCCCCAAGGTCAGAGGCTGCCTGCCCGATAAAGTGCTTGATCCGTCAAAGATCTGTTATGTGTACCGCAATGAATGAAAACCTTTTGAGAAATAGAAACTTATATAAGCTGGGACACATGGCTTTGATTAGTTCAACACCCATCGGGCATCACCGATCACATCTTTTGGGAGGGGGGAAATTCACTCACTCACGGGTGTTGCCCGATAATCGCCGCTAATCGAATTTGATAAACCCACACGTCGCGTGTTACGAGCCTTAGTGACTCTATTAATCTCTGATTTGTTATAATTATAACGTCATCATATGATCAAACCACAAACAGGGTACACACACGCGGCACACAACTGGGCCAGTCAGGTGTCAAATATGGTTCTATCTATGGTTCATTCTGCTAGTTTTGTTTGGCTAAATCATAACTTAACTATGAGATTTTTCACAGTCTGTTGATGTCATTCGATCCCACACAAAAGGCATTGTTGAGATTCAGTTTGTGCTTGGCAAACCATAACAGAATGTGGCAATCGGCAGGGGATTCGAATCTCCATACTCAACGATCGCTTCTGCAGCTGATAATGAGTGCTCCCTGGCGTTCATGAGGGTTATCAGTCTGTCATTGATCAAAGTTTAGTTTCAATTCAAGTCGAGTCTTCGCGACGCTTCAAATTCTTTGCACACTTTTCGTTGCATAATTTATAGCCCCGCTGGCTGTATTTGTGTCAGTCCGTTCTTATCGCCCCACACTTCTGGATTTGCTGTTGACAAGCATCAGATGAGCTGCAGCTATAAAAGCGTGCACGATTGTATATTATAAATAGGAAAACAGCAAAAGTAACCTATACTCGCTCTGAACTGCTTTGCTTGATTAAACACCGAATGGCACCATAAATTTCCATTCACTGACAGGCCCAGCCACAAAGAAAGTAAAGCAGTAGCCTAGGTCAATGTTGAAGACAAAAGTGTGGGCAATGCAGTGCACTGCGCTGTCCATTCATGGGAGAGTTGGGCAATAAAGCAGTAGCCATAGCGGAACTTTCCAACTGCTTTGCCATGTAAAATGAAGTCGAAAGTGGACACGCCTGTCTGATGGCAGCCTGTAGACGTTTGATAAGCGGCGTTTATTCTGTCCTAAACTCATTTTGGACAACTAAATACATATCTACATATGTATGTATGTATGTTTGCATTTAGCAACCTTCAGCAGTCAGCACATGACTCTGGCTTTGAGAGGCCTAGAACTTGTGTCAGGCGAGGTGTTTGCGGCTGTAGACCCTACAGCACTTGGATCTCGTTTCTTTTTTCTTTTTTCGGGCAGTCTTTTATCGCTGCCCCATAAATTTGTGTGCTGAACCGTCTGTTAACACTGTGATAGCGGTTTCTGCGGTCTGACTGATGCCTTCCAGGTATTGCGTAATGTAGGCAGCAACAAAGAAGCAACAAAACGTCAGCAGTTGCGATTTTTGCTGATAAGCCGCTAAAGATAAGCGCCTTGGGTTTGGGTGGTGCTGAGGGTTGGGGGGGGTGATTCAAGATCAATGGAACTACTAGCGAGGGGGAGGAATGTCAACTACAGCTGCCGGCCCGTGTCTAGTTTAATGAGCTTAATTATGCCCAAGACTGAGCTGGAAACAGGCGGCAATCGGTGGGCGACTGGCGATAGCTACACATACACGGGGGTACCTTTACAGTTATGTTGTGTATATGTATTTGTATGTTTAGCTGCGCTCCAATAAGTCGGTAACCCAATCAATGTCGGACTTTGGCACACTCATAATAAAGCGGAGCAATGTCAGAAGTCTGACGAGTAAATCCGATTTGGGACAGACGCAATTATGGCCAAATTAAAGAGTTTGTCAGCTAATGCCCAGTTCTATGCCTAGCCCTTATCGGGCACTTTGAATGTGTGTTCACCTGACTGATGGGCTCATGGCTGGATGTCTCATTCCTCATGGCTGGATGACTCCTCGTCTCGTGGCCCACGGTGGCATATCTATATTTATAGCCAACAAAGTTTTAGTGGGCCGTAGCTAAAAATCACTACTTAAGCAGCCAGTAAATACGAGCAAATATCAGCCAGCCATCGAAGCAGCTTATCAGCTGCGATTTGATTAGTTTTGTTCTTCACTTTTAACAACGTTTTATGGCCAGCAAGCTTCTGGCTAAACTTTAGTAAAAGCTAACTGAGATAACGAAAGCTCCGAAACGAAATGATCGTTTAGAGCTTTCAGAACTTCAGGCTACAAAAGCTGTGCCATGCCGTTCCAGGCAACGTTCTGGGCGAAAGCTGTTCCATTCCATTCCATTCCAGTCCGCTGTGCTCCTCCCTCCTCACACTTTTATGCTAATTAGCTGGCAGCAACTTCCGCAGCAGATCCGATCGATCGATTGCTCGATTGATCGATCATCTTTCTCGCTGCCCCGCCCTATTAGCACCCATTAGAATCCCCCCCAAGCACGTTCCGTCATTTAGCTAAACACTGAAAATATAATTTATTATAATAACTAATGCAAAATAATTCCATTGGCTTTGTGCTAAGATTAACATTAATTAGAGCCCTGCGGCAGGCCAAACCCAAACCCAAACCCAACATCCAACATCCAAATCTCAAACGAGTCGTGACACATGCCGCTACATCATGAACGAACCGTGATCCTTCTGGGCATGGGCAAGTGGCATGTTGCATGGTCTATGACAAATGGCACTCGAACGCTCAGGTGATAATTCAATTATTAACATTCGATGTGCAGAAGCAGATCAAGTCAGATCCGTTTGATTTATTTATAAACTTTTGGCCCCATCGCGTGTTTATTGTTTTTACTCAACGCTCGCTCGCTCGCTCTCTCTCTCTCTCTGCTGCCAAAACGTGTCGCTCTTCTGTCACACCTCAACCTTCTCTCCCTCTCCCCCAGCCCAGCAGCAAACTGTCAATGAGTTGGCCAAACAGTTGCTCTTGGCCATAGGCCAAACTTTAGTTTTCCTGCCGTTTTCTCCATGGGTGTGGGGGGGGCCTGCTGCAATTGCAAATATTTAACAGCAATGTTGGCTGAGGTTAGTTAGGATTGCCTTAGGAGTGCCTGGAAGATGCAAAAATATCCCTCCACGTGCAAGAGTTCACCTGGGGAGGTTACAAGGGGGAGGCACACGCTTATGCAATCGATTTGTTTTTCGACACATATTTATTTATTTACAATTCAATTGCCATTGAGACACTATTGAGAGCAAATTGCGTGCAATTTGATCGACAGGCGACTGAGATTCAAGCTTTTATTTGTTATTGCCACATTGTGCCACGCCACGCCACGCAATTTCAATTTGCAACTGCAACGCAGCGGCAATTGTGCGTTGTAGGCCGCAAATTGATACGATAACAGGCCCCATCCCCGACCGACCATGGTAATTGATAGTCGGTCACTCCACCACATTCCACCACCTTCCACTCTGCACACTGCACTCTGCACTCAGCACTCTTCACTATTCACCGTTATCAAACTGCAGTCAGTGCACAGCAGACAATTGTCTCTCCACTTTGTGCCTCCATTCTCCACTCTACCCACATCTTAGTGTGAGCGCAGGTCTCCAGAGATTATCGAGAGAGAGGGAGAGTGAGAGTGAGAGTGAGAGCGTAAGTGCGGCGAATGAGCGTTTAAGTTGTTCGTAAATTCTGGATACTTGACTTTATGAATGCTGCCGCTCGTGTAGGATTTGCTAATTTCCACACAGAACCCTGCCGCTGTGTTTGTGTTTTTTCGCTTCTCTGCTCTCTGGGCTAAAAATGGGCTTTTGATTTACGCAATATCATATGGATACAGATATAAATATTTGTCTATGGCTTCTCCAACGCCTCAGATTGACATTGACAGTGCCGCTGTCGCTTCGTGCATTGAACGGAACAAAGTTTCAAAAAATAAATATCCACAAAATATAAATAATTTTTTGTTCAATTTTCAAAAGTCCAACAAGTGCTCACAATGACTCGCGAGTGCTGGGATCGGTAAATATCTATAGGATAACCTCAAAAGAAATGTTCCCAAATTCGTTTAGTGCCTTTCTTTTGGCCCCGTTATCGTACAAACTCCATTCTAACTTTCGAGTGGCCAACCCCACAGATAACAGTTTCTTTCTTTTTCTTTGACAATTAATCTACTAATTTTGACAGCTGAATGGGGCAATCCATAGGCCATGTCTGTGCTAAGTACTTAGCGATTATCTTTTTTTCGGCCTGGCCAGGCCATGTCAGCTTCACCTTCACCGTCCATCTAGTCTCTTTATGCCTCTTTATGTGTTCCGTTCGCTAGTGTTGAAAAATCGATGTCATGTCATCGAACCGTGAACAGGAGCAGCCGCAGCTTCAGGGGTTGGAGAGTCCACCCCCTGCGGAGGAACAAATGAAAAGGTCTCGATAAAAGAAACTTCAATTCAATGTCACTACAAACGCTGAAAGATAATGTGGCAGCGGATTAACTTTAATTGAAAAGCTTAATGGAAGCGCTTGGATGGGATACCAAATGATTGATGAAGAGGTTCGACACATGCCAGAGAGTGGGAAAGACAGGGAGAGAGTGGGAGCCAGAGAGGGGTTGAACTTTTCCACCTAGTATACGCGCTGACTATCATGCATAATTGTTACTTTTTCAGTTGCTTGAAAGTATTCAAAATGAAGGGTTCTACGCTGGACAAAATCTGCTGCTTCCTCGCCGAGCTCATCGGCACGGGAATGCTGGTCTTCCTCGGCTGCATGGGCTGCGTGAAGACGGACCTCTTCCCCAACAATCATCTGCAGATTATACTCAACTTTGGTCTGGCCGTCATGATTTGCATCCAGTGCTTCGGCTGTGTCTCCGGCGCTCATCTCAATCCGGCCGTTACTGTGGCTGCCTACATCTACGAGTTGGTTACACTGCCCATGGCCTTTGTCTACTGTGTGGCCCAGATGCTGGGCGCATTTATTGGCTACGGATTGCTGAAGGTGCTGCTGCCCGAGGATACGCTTGGAGGAGGCGCAGGACTGTGCGTGACGCTGCCCCACAGCAGCGTCAGCCATGCTCAGGCATTTGGCATTGAGTTTGTGATCACCGCCATTCTGGTGATTGTATGCTGCGGCGTCTGGGATCCACGCAACTCCAAGTTCCATGACTCGGTTGCCATTCGCTTTGGTCTGGCCATTTCCTGCCTTGCCTGTGCTGCCGTAAGTTACACCCCTCACTCCCCTTAGCTCTCCAAGCAGTCTAACGTATTTCTTTCTTTCTTTTAGGGTCCCTTCACTGGTGCCAGCATGAACCCCGCCAGGTCCTTTGCGCCTGCCCTGTGGAACTCCCACTTTGACTCCAACTGGATCTACTGGCTGGCTCCACTCAGCGCTGCCGCCGTCACCGCCTACGCCTACAAGACCGTCTTCCGGCGGGAGGTGGTGGAGGCAGAGATCACCAGCCACGAGAAGCTGCGCCAGCTGGAGGATGTGCAGCTCTCGTAGAGCAGGAGAGCATGCCAAAGACATTGCAATTACATTTAACTTTAAGCTAAGACAGCCGAATTTTATATTAATGCAATATAAAGCCTTCGATAATAAAGAACATCGAGATTTTTAAACTACTTTAAAAAAACAAAAGAATAACCCAAAAGAAACATCTTTCAATGCTGTGCTGAGTGGAATTCAGTTCAAACTTTACAGAAACTTTCGATCTGCGCGCAAGGAAAGACCGATTACTGTTTTTACCTGAGCACTTTGTCGCTAGAGAACAAAAACAGCAGAGGGTCGGCAGCGACGTAGGCAAGAATCTTAGGCAGCGCAGTCGCTACACGCAAAAGCTATCGTGTGGCTTCGGCCTATGCACTTCGTGTGGTCTATTGCTCGGTTGCGCGCAGCAGCAGAGAAGCAAGAAACGTGTTTGACGTCGTTTCTGTTGTCTGTGCATACAAACGTACTAATGCATGTCTGTTCCTGCATGCCCACACCCGATCCAAAGACACTTTCTGCAATCGCTTGCTCCAAGGTGTCGCGTTTAGCTGTTGTTATTGTGAGACGACGATGGAGTCTCGGCTCAACCAAAAAGCCCGAAACGCATCACACAAGCAAAGAGAGGGAGAGCGCGTGTGCTTGGTTGTTTTCTGTGTTGTCAGTGATCGGAACGCAAAGGCAAAGGGAGAGAGTGGTTACAGTTATTTGCGAGCTGAATTGCAACGGAGCTGGAAGGTAGTCACAAGCTTTCTTCAACCTTACGGCTGCCTCTTCTTGCTTCTTGTTTAACTGAGGAAGCCCGTCATGAGTTGGTGTCTTGTTCAAAGTTCTGCCAGCATAAGCTAGACAACAAGTCCGTACCCTGTCTGAGCCACAAGGCGTGTGTTGTCCAAGGCTCGGCGCCACAGTCGCACTCCGATTAAGATCTTAATGATTCGAGATAAGATTAAGGACGATTCGCGTCAAATGCTGCTGCCCAATCGGAACGTGGCAGTAAAGCAGTTTATCAGGCCGATAATTACAGCAGGAAAGCCTCACGTAAATGCTCTTTGATTAATTGATTCTGGCCGAGGAATGGGCGGCGACAGGGCCACACTGTTGTGTGGCACTCTATCTGCGCACCTCCACTCGGAAATATCCATATGATAATTAGCATTAAGGTTTTATAATTGATATTGATTGATTGGCGCCAATTTAAAGTCACAGGCCAAGTCAGTTGGCCAAAAAAAAAAAAGTCGAGGTGCCAGTGGCACTTCTAGTGGCAGTCGAGTTTAGTCAACATGTCGCAACAGAAGCCAAAAAAACCGAGCGGCAACCGATGGCACCTCCAGCAGCGGCACAGGAGCCGACTGGCCGCCTTCTTTGGGGAGCTGGTGGGCACCGCCATGTTCGTGCTCATCGCCTGCATGGGCTGCGTGCAGACGCCACTCTTCCTCAACACACACTTCCAGAGCGGCCTCACCTTCGGCCTGGCCATACTCATTGCCATCCAGTGCTACGGCTCGGTGTCGGGGGCACACCTCAATCCAGCCATCACTTTGGCCGCCGCGCTCTACGGCGTGCTCCACTGGGGCATGGCCATTGCCTATTTTGTGGCCCAAGTGGCGGGCGCTCTCATTGGCTATGGTCTGCTGGTCGCCGTGCTACCCCACAACGCCATCAAGGGCGTGGACAACCCCGCGGGTGTGTGTGTCACAGTCCTCGCCAGCGACATCTCCGTGCTGCAGGGTGTGTTCATTGAGTTTCTCATCACCTGTTGCCTGGTGATGGTTGCCTGCTCGGTGTGGGATCCACGCAACACCACGCTCAAGGACTCGGTGCCCGTGCGCTTCGGTCTGACAGTTTCGTGTCTCATCATTACAGCGGTTCGTATGTCTGTCCGAAGAGGCTAAAGAGCCAACAAACTGAAGGGCATTTTATTGTATTCCTTTAGGGCCTCTTCACTGGCGCCAGCATGAACCCCACCAGGTCGCTGGGTCCTGCTGTGTGGAACGACTCGTGGGCGCATCATTGGATCTATTGGGTGGGTCCGCTCGTGGCAGGCGCTGTCACCTCGCTCATCTATCGTTTCGCCTTCAAAGGTGACGATGTGGTGATGGAGCTGCCCAGTTCCACTGCCAATATTCGCGTCATTGAGGAGGTCGTACTGCCCTAGGTTGTGGCTTGTTACTTAGCCTTCTGGGCACTAGTTTTAGTTGAAGTTTTAGTTCAACTTTTAGTCTTAAGTGTTGCCAATAAAGGGAATACAACGATTTCCATAGCATACATTTGGGAGGGAAACTCTTGCTTGAAAAACTGATAAAAAAGCAGCCAATGAATCAGCGGAAAGTCCCCATCCAGAGATACAAAAGTGCCGTAATTCAAACACTATCACTAATCGAAGAATTTATATGTAAATGTGATAAGCGAGCAGACAGCTCCAACCAGACTGTGCCACTGTGCTCGGGTTATGTTTGGCACTGCATGGCACTTATATTAAATAAGTAAGTAAATGGCAAGCCTCACCGATAACGATTAGAAATCTTGATAGTTGATTGTCGTACAATGTCGTAGATTAAGACATAGCTGTGATAATGTGATAGAGTAGGCGATTAAATAATGGTACGCAGTATCACGGCGCCCATTGAGTACTCGAGTTGCTGGCTAATCTCAGTACGTGTCGAAGCACGTTGCAGCCAAGACCTTAACTAGTTCTACAGACAGTTCTAGACATGGCTAATACCAGCACGAGGTGCAGCACAACACATATTCTACAGCCTTTACATCCTGACTGACATCTCTTTTCTCTCTCCTTTGCAGTCGCTCGACCTGTTGGCTGCTGCAGCGGCGACAGTTGAATAATATTTCCATCGTTTTTGCCGAACTAATTGCCACGGCCATGCTGATGTTCCTCGGCTGCATGGGCTGCATCCAGAATTCGTTCTTCACCAACGGCCACTTCCAGTGCGCGCTCAACTTTGGCTTTGTTGTACTCATTTGCATCCAGTGCTTTGGCTGCGTCTGCGGCGCCCATCTCAATCCGGCTGTGACGCTGGCCAACTACATCTACAACATGATCTCGCTGCCCATGGCTGTGGCGTACTTTTTCGCCCAGATGCTGGGAGCCTTCATTGGCTATGGCCTGCTCAAGGCCATCATGCCAGAGAGCGCCATCTTCAGCACGGATACGCCCAGCGGAGTCTGCGTTACCTCCGTGCACAGCAGCCTGACGGGGCTGCAGGGCGTCGTCATTGAGTTCCTTATCACCAGCGCACTGATTGCCATTTGCTGTGGCGTCTGGGATCCGCGCAATGCCAAGTTCCAGGACTCTGTGGGTGTGCGCTTTGGGCTAGCCATCTCCTGCCTCTCCCTGACTGCGGTAAGTAGTTACCCGACTGCTGTGCTCTGTGTACAGCTGATTCATTGTTTAATTGTTTCTGCTACAGGGCCAGTTCACGGGTGCCAGCATGAATCCAGCGCGCTCCTTTGCCCCTGCCCTTTGGAACGGTGCCTGGGAGAACCATTGGATCTACTGGGTGGGTCCCATGGCCGGGGCACTCGTCTCATCGCTCATCTACAAGTACGCCTTCCGGCGCGGGGTTGAGGAGCTGGAAGAGCAGGAATCCACCATGTCCACCAAGCGGACCGCTGAGCAGGAGTTCGCCTAGAGAGCCGACACTGTGTAGTATCCATTAAGTGCTTTTAAAGCGGCTTAGTTTTACCTTACCGAATACGAATAAATATCATATACTAAATCCACGGGGCTACCGTGTGGGGTGGCCGCTTATCGTGGCCAGATTATTTTAGTACACCCGCAGAGTGCTTATCGTTTCATATTAAATTACCTTAACAGCCAGCCACAACAAGCGGCGTGCATAAAGATATGAGCGGGGTAGTCTGCCAAAAGCCAAAGGGTAGCTGGAGGTTCAGTGGCGTGAAGTACATACATATATGTATGTATGTATGTATGTATGAATGCAAGAATCCATTTGAAACAGCAAAAGAGAGACACTAAACTTACATTGACCGGCATCACAACAACAGCAAATGTACCACTTGTGAGAGCATTGTGCTCATATTTTCGTGAGCGAGCATACGCTTGCGCGGCTTACGGAACATGCGAATGCGTGCAAAAGAAGAACTAAGAAAAACTTGGTGCTTGCTATACGGTTTACCATTCCAATGGCAATTTGTTCGCTTGAAGCTGATATTACTGCAGCAAACAAAAACGAAATATAGAGAGAGTATTTGGGAAGTAGACGAAAACGAGTTATTAATATGTATTAATCAAATATATACCTATGTACAGAAAAACCTCAAATAATGTGACTAAATGGTTGTGGATAATTGTAATTTCGATTTAGGTTTGTTTGCTACAACACGAGAGACTGACACACAAACACAAAAGATGCATTGCACGAAATTGTTCAGCCTGCAAGTATGCCTGAAGTGCACCACCAGTGCTGGCTGAGCTGTAAACGCAAGCTGACTGCTATGCGACCACAAACAAAAGCTGACCGCTTTGAGAGAATTCTAATTGGAACTGAAACCCTTGCCAGTAAATGGAACTCTCAGAGGCTTCTTATTAGTTTATGTCACACACATTACTCAAAATACAAAAATAAATTCTCTAATTTTCTGGCTGCATTAAATTGCCTGTCTTGGCGGATCATCAGCACAAAATTAGTAGCATAATGAATAGAATCTGGAGTCAGTTCCGTGGTGGCTGCATACTGCGGTGAGGTCTGAGTAATCCCGCACAGTCCCCCAATAAGTTGCATCTTTTTTTTTGACAGCGGCAATTTGATCAAATTCAACAATAGCATGACCAGCCAGATTGAAACTAATCTGAAATTCGAGGATCTGCTGACGGTAAACTGTGGCTACAAACTGTCGGGGGTGCACCAATCACCAAATTCACTATTCAATTTTCTACAGGAACGACATCAACTGGCGGCACTCACGCGCATGCTAACCAGTAAGGTTCGGGGACTCGAGAGGATGGTAAGCGACTTGACGCGTGACATAAAGCGCTTGGAGTTTGACAGGAACCTAGAAATGGAAGCGAAAGAGCAAGCGAAAACAGCAAAAGCAACAGCCGAGAGCCAGATGGAAGCAAGCCCCACCTCGCCACCTGCTGCGCCAGCAGAGAAGAAAAAAATCACCCAATGTCGTTGATTTCAGTGGCTGCAAAAAATCCCCCCGAGGGGTTCACAGTATCAGCGCAACGATTATCAGCAGAGCGTCTCACTCTCCCACAGACCTATAAAAGCACTCATCCCCACTGAGATGAACATTCAGTAAACCAAAGATTACAAAACAATGAAGCTGTTCGCACTGTGCTGTCTGCTGTTCGCTCTGCTGGGATGCCTGATCTCGCCCAGCCAGGGATCGCCATCTCGCGGATCTCCCAGTCCTGGAGGAGCTGGCGGAAATCCTTTCAGGTCGCCGCCGGCACCACGTCCATTCATCTACGATTCGCCAGTGCGTAGACCAAGTCAACCCAAGACCATGTACGCTTAGGACAACAAAAAGTGACTTAATAAATTTGCCAAAAATATATAAAGAAATATTAGGTGATTGTTGTGTTATTTTTTCTGGGGAGCTGCTATTTCGCCACATAAACAATTATTGCAGAGCGGAAATCTGTCGCCATAAACAAATCAATCAAACGGCGAAGGGGATTTTTGTGCTTATCAGTAAAGAAAATGTTTGCGTGACTCACGGAAGAAATAATAAATAATGCTTGCCAGGCCAGACTTTAATTGTCATTTATTCCCTTTCAGTTCCCCTTTCTTATTCCCCGTATCATGTTTTAGCATAAATAAATATTTCATTTAAATTCCAAATCCCTTTAAAAATGTCTGAAATTGTGCAATTTCTAAGCTACCAAATAGCCAGAAATTATCGGCAGCCACTGAAAATATTCAATAAATATCAGCCAGCAGTTAAGTAAGTTCCAGCTTTAACTTCAATTAACTTTCCCTCAAAGCAACTCTTTTTCTCTTACAAACAGTCGATTGTCCTTCAAATTCTCTTATCTAGGCAGCGTACGTTCCAATATTCCCTATATGCAAAAGGTTTGTCTTTAAGTCAAACAAAGTACAACTTCATTTTGAGACCAGTTTTGTTTCCAGAAACAACGCCACCAGCTGGACACCATACGCAAGAGAATTATAGAGGAACGCAAATTAATCAATTCAAAAATTGAAAAAATCGAAAAGCATATCAAGAATTTGGAGAACATCAGCGGCAAGCCCGAAAAGAAGACATAGAGAAAAAGTCCATCAAGTCAGCACTGGAAAACTGCTCTGCTGCCAGCATCAAAATTCGTTTCATATTCCAAATTTTAAGCAATTATTTTTAAGCATGTTTGGCACAGTCTTCCGAGCCGTAAGTCTGCTGAGAGCCAGGGATGTGCTGGTCACAGGCGGAATAAGGTGCGTATAGCCTGGATTTTGATTCGTTTATACATTTTTGACCCATTGAAAACAGACACTCCTTCCGGGACAAAGGCAGGGGCGAGGAGAAAACTCATTTTAAGAGAATTGTGAGTGCATTCAATTCACAGCCAATTCACAGGCAAAAGCTTATCTTTTCTATGTCCCCAAGGAAATGGAACAACTAAAGAAAATACGACAAAATAAAATTGAAGAAATGATGGCACAGATCGAGGACTTAAAGAACGAAATCAAAGCCGTTGAGCGGGGCTTTTCCGAGGATTCAAAGTCTGTGAAGAAATCGCTGCTGAAGCAAATTGAGCAGCTAGAAAATTCCATTGAGCGAATCAAAAAGTCAATGGGTGGAGAGGATTGAGTTACTCGATTTCAGTCAAAGTAGGCGATGCCATTCCCAAACAGATTCACATTTCAGTCAGCCTCTGGCATGCCCAAGTAACTTTCCATATTTTTAGAAATAAATTTTAGTTATCTTCTCCCGTTTTTTTTTTTAACAAAAAATTATCAACCATGCAGAAAGTACTTTTCCGACTTGCAACTGTGCCTAAAGTTTGGTTTACACAAAGCTGCAAGTGAGTAGAAACGAAGTAGGCAAAGATTTATTTTGTAACTTTAAAATATTTCTAGAAATGCCAGCAATTTCCTGTACGAAAGAGCCCGCGCCGGCGAGAATGTGCACTTTCTGAAAATTGTGAGTATTTCTAATGAAAAGAACTGAAAATCGTGGAAGCTTTCCCTTTACTTCCTAAACAGCAACGCGAACAACTGATGAAGCTGCGCTCCAAACTCGTGCAGCAGCAGAATGAGGTGCAGTCAGAGCTGGGCAAGGTGGACCAGCAAATGGTCTCAATGGCCAAGGTAACAACTGGACAAAGTGGCAAGCAATAGCAGGGGAAAAACCTTATAAACTCATATTTAATCCGATATAAATTACTTTAAGCCCAACATCATATTCTTTCCACTTTTTTTTATTTAAAATAATTTGTATTTTTCCATTTACATAGAAGCCCTTGCAGGTCCGCGGGGTTGCTCCATCCCGGCCTGCCCGACAGTGGCTAGTGGGTTGGGAGCTCTCTCTTAAAACATATGATATAATAATATATAGGGCTGTTTTTTTCTTTCTTTCGCTTTTTTTGTTTATCATTTAGGGTAACAATTTGTTTGGAAAATAAAATGAAACTTTCATTTAATATGGCATTCAAAACTCAAAACACAAAACACATTCCGCCGCTTTCAGAGCAGGGAAGGGGGCAGGGGGGTGGTATCAACATAAAGTCTATACAAATTATAAAATAAATACAAGTTCCAAAATTTGAAAGCAAAAAGGCGACTGCTTGCTGTCTGGGGAATACAAGAAAAGAAAAGCCTATAAAATATGTACATAAACACATACACATACATGGTATAAGCAGTTCGTTAGTGTTGGTGTGAACGTCAAAAGCAACAGAACGTAAGTACAATACATTTGTGGTAGTTGAGCAACTTGGAGAATGATATTCTGCCGCCTCGTTTTACGTACTAAAAAAACTACAAACTAAAAACTTGACTTGACTTGGTCAAGTGCTGGTGAGGCCAGTAGAGTAGTGTGTGTGTGTGTGTGTGTGTGTGTGTGTCTGATAGGTGTGTGTGTGAGGTAGGCTAGCAAGAGAAATTATGGCATACTTTCGAGCGCCTGCTGACGGTCCTCTTTCTTCATCTCTTGGGTTTGGGTTTGGGTTTGGGTTTCTGGTTGTGTGGGTTTTCGCTTCTAGCTTTCTTTTTTCTTTTCAAATACTGATCAACAAGTGCCAGGAATGTTGTGGAGTGCATGCAACTCGGTGTCTCTAACTGTTTTGCGACTCTGTTTGTGTGTGTGTGTTCTGGTGTGTGCTGGTTTTTGTGTGTGTGGTTTCTGCTGCTAAAACTTAAATGTAAGATTCTAAAACTAACTCTTAACGATCCCCAGCTACGCTCTCTGCCTGCGAACGCAGCACTTGGAGTCGTTTCTGTGTGTGTTTTTAGGGCTACAACTAACATAACATGAAACGCTGCACGGCCGCTGGACTCTGCCCTAACTGGGCAGCCGCTTGCTGGCCAATTCCTGCAGCTTCTGCAGCGCCAGCGTCTTGTTGATCTCGATCAGGTCACGACTGTGCTTGGCCGACTGCAGCTGCACTTCGAGGATCTTCATGCGCATCATGTGCTCCTTGCTCTGCATCTCCATGAACAGGCGCAGCTCGAAGTTGTTGCTGTTGCTGTTGCTGTTGATGCCGCTGCTGCTGGGGCTGACAGTTGCGACGCCAACGCCCAGTCCGTTGCTGCTGCTGCTCGATCGCTCCAGGGCCTGGCAGTCCGTCGCGAGCGGCATGGCTGTGGTGGTCAGTGCCTGCGGCTGATCCTCGATGCTCAACACGCTGCCGCTGTTGGTGCGCCGACGCTTGGGCGATGGCTTCAGCAGCTCATCATCGTCCTCATTGTTGTTGTTATTGTTGTTGTTGCTGTTGCTGCTGCTCTTGTGCTGCTGCAGGGCGACCACCTGAGCCTGAGCCTGCGCCTGTGCCTGTGCCTGCGCCTGATGCTGTTGTATGGCGGCTGCGGCGGCAGCTGCCGCACTGGGGAACTGGCCCGTTCTCAAGGCATTCAGTGCCTCCAGCGTGGCGGATATGTTGTTCATGTTGAAGTTGGCCTGGAAGCCGGACATGTCTGCGGCGCCCGGCATAAAGCCCCCACCGCCGGCACTCGCATCGAGTGCCACGGCTGTCGACACTGTGGCAGGACTCTCGGCCTCGTGTATGCCATTGCGACTGTGATTCGGAGACACACTCAGACGCTCGCCTCCGCCGCGTAGGATGTCGCTCTGGTTCAGATGATGACTGTTGTATTTCTCATCAAAGGTCTCGTTGTGTTCCTCCTCCTTGATGTCCACATCGCACATCTCCTGCGGTGGTGTACGACTGCTGCTTGAGGGGAACAGAGAGAGAAGAGCGTTAATCGTGGCTATCCAGCGGGTGAGAGCGCTCTCTGGTGACTTACTCATCCATGTCATGCTCATCGCCATTGAATTTGTAGTCCTCGCGATAGTCGAAACCCTCCTCCAGGGCCAGCGGAATCTTTGAATAGTCAATGCCATCCAGGGCCTCCGATTTGCAGGCCTTCTTGGCCTCCTGCATAAAGTCCCACACCTCGAACGTAAACGGCGATGGCTTCTTGCGATCAGCGACCTCCGGCCCGAATCTGGCCAAGCGATTATTATAGTCGAGTATCTCATTGCGTGTGCAGGCTAAACAAAAGCAAAGAACATTGAAAAATAGTTCAGAAATTCAATCGAAAATCCCTCGAACTCACCTTTCATGCGACGCCACTGCTCCTTGAGGCGATTGCACGTGCGATCGGTGCCAAATTGATTGGAGAACTTCTGGTGTATAATCTTCCAGGCCTTGTTCTTGACAGCGGTGAGTCCTGCATCCAGTCGCTTGTTCTCTATGATGCGCATATCCTTGCGGCACAAATCGAGCAAATATTTCTTCTCCTGGTGATTCCAGTTCTGAGTGCGTTCACGTTTCTTGTACATGTTCATCGATGGATTGTTCATGTATTGTGTCATTTCTGCAGGGGAAATGTTGCAAGTTTAATGGTCTGTCCGTTGATTGCTGCTGAAATGATTTTAACGTTCACTTACCCGTCTTCAAGTCGACGCCCTCCAGTAAGCTGTGATTGGAATTCTGCCAATTGGCGGCAATCTTCATAAAAGCCTCCAGATCGTTGGCCGTATACTGTTTGTTGACCTGCAAGAAGAGCGGGGAGAGAAATCAGTAACGAGAACCAAGTAGCGAGAAAGGGGTAAGAAGTAGCGAATCGCATTGAATGTTCATTGATTAGCAGCCCGAAATAACCGGCAAAATCTGAATTATAATTCCCCCTCCGTTGGCTGTTCGGGGCATACTTTGGCATGCAAAACTTGTGCCACATTCCCCCAACCATAAGAAGCGCGCTTCTGGCTCTGAGACGCACCTCAAGATTCAATGAACCTAATGATGATGATGATGATCGTTGATCGTTGATCGTTTCGGCCAAAACTCGAGACAAAATGAAATATTTCGCATGTCGGCGAGATACTTCGAGCACATCAATTAAACTTATTTTTTGTGTGTGTGTGTGTGTGTGTTGGCCAAAGCCTTAGAGAGTCAATGAAAACAAAAGGATTTTGCAGCTCGCTCCCCAGTGCCCTCCCTCGCATGGCTGATTGCTGACTTTGACATGACTGCTGCGGCGGCAGATACGGAGAGAAGGAGAGTGGAGAGTGGAGAGAATGGAATGGAGAGATTGGAGATGGAGCAGGGCTGTGGTGAGAGGAGCTGCAGTCGCATTAATTGATTTTCAATTAGCGAAACGGCAGAGACGGGGCAGGGGTGTGGGTTGGCCAAATGTGTGCAGGCCATGAACAAAAATGGACTAAGAAGAATTAAAATATGAATATGAATGTCGAACAATCAAAATGATTGAAAAGAAGGCAAGAAAAAGCACACAGAGAACCCCGAGCAAAGCGACACAACAAATAATGCCATGAAACGCGTTTTAATTTATAAATTAACAAAAACTCAGACACAAATACAGCGACAAATGCCAGCTGCGGACATTTTGCTCAACCCAGAAGAGCTGCTTGTGTGTGTGTGTGTGTAGCTGTGTGTGCGTGTGTTTGTGGGGCTCGATCAAACGTCGCACTGACAGCCAATTATACCAAGATCAAATACACTCGATCGCAATTCTTCAAGCATTTACGATGTACATACATATTATGTGCATGTAAATCAATACATCCATATGGTCCGCACATATTGAGCATATCCAATGTGCGGCTGCTACAGTGAAGCTGGCCCATGGTGAAATTACTTAGAAGGTAAAGTTCTCCGCTGTGGGGGAGGATAGTTTATTCACCACTTATCAACCAGCAAGCGCTAGAAAGGGATAGAGATGCACTGTGGTGAGATGTCACCTTGCAAGAAAATGCACCTTTAGTTGGCCTAGAGGAAGAGAGAGGTCTAAGTGGTAAAGATCTTTGCTATAATTATAATATTATACAGAGCTATAGCTAGTTTGGCTATACACTCTTTCCTTTACTTTGCTGTTCCGCCCGTACTTGGTCTTCGTCTTTTGGCTCTCCACAAAAAAAAAAAGAAACAAAAACACTTCCATTGATTCCCCTCGTCACTGCGCTGCGCCCGGCCCATTCCTGGTCCCATCAAACGCTCGTCTCTCGCTCTCTCTCTCTCTCTCTCTCCCTCAATCTTTAAGTACGTTTTATGGTGCTTTATTTTATTTCAATTTTCGTTCCTATGCCTCCCCCTCCCGCCGAGCACCCCCACAAGTCTTGCACAAACCGCCGCCATGTGTTCAATATTTATGCCGTATCTGATTTACAATTTATATAGACAAACGTACATATGTACAACCGAATGAATGAATATGTGTTTAAGCAGATATGTAGATATATATGTCTATGTCTATCCGCAGGAAAACTTAGTCAGCGGCGCGCGTGTGCTTATTATTATTATTATATTTATTTGCTGCTCTCTTCCTATATGTTCAATGTACATTCATCGCTTATTTATTAACACAACAATTAATTATTATTGTCGTCTTGTAAGGTAATGTTTAAGTTTTAGTCATGAGCTGACTGGACTTTTATGTTTTTGAAATCATTGAAATGCGAGACGTGTGTCTGGTTCTGGCCAGGGTGGGGCCTCAGCACCGTCTCAACTTAGTCCAAAGATGAAGTTGAAAGCTGCGAGAATTAGCCAGTCTTGTCCTAACAAAAGATCGCTTAGCCAGAGCTAATATTTCCTGTCTTGCCCAATTTTGTGTTACATATTTGGCGGTAAATGTTATTTTTTGACAGCCAAAATAATCACTCACTCCAATCAATTGTGACTTCAAAAATTAAGCATTGAAATTACACTAAACAAAAACTGGTTTAGATTGCCTGTCCCTGTGTGTGTGTTGTGTGCCTTGGCTCTTTTTTTATCTATCTTTTTGTTGTTGTTGGTTGTTAATATGAAAACGAAAAATAATTACTGTATCTACATAGCCTTAACAATTGTGAACCTACACACAGCGCGTAGTAGAGCAACAAGAGTCAACCTTGTGCCTTAAAATAAAGCAAAGGCATTGTGTGTGTCTGTTGCCCACAACCCAAACAGATATTGGACAGAAAATAACGGAGCGAGAGAGCGAGAGAGAGAGAGGGGGAGAGAGGGGGAGAGACCACAGAGCAGTTCCCAAGACCAGAGTCGATATTCCGTAACGTAATCCAATGCACGGACCGACATCCATGTGTGAGTAATTACCACAAATTAACGAGCCAAACTTATTGTATTCTGCGGCATGCCTCCTAGTACGCTGAACTATTTCACTCGGCCAAAGTTAAAGCCAAAGCCAAAGCCGCGTTATAGTTCAAAAACTAAATGGTACAAAAATTCAAATTAAAATGGTAATTGTGTGGAGCACATGGAGATGTACAATCTGGGAGCTTAAAGTACAGCTATTTGGTCGTGCCCAGCCACACTGATTCTCTGAACCTGGTCGCAGTCGCAGGGCATCGTTAAACTTTCGAGCAACACTTGAAATGATTTTACACACAAATTCTTTCGCTCTCTCTCTCTCTCTTTCTCTCTTTCTCTGTTTCCACTTCTTCGCCACATTCTGCTGCTGCTGCTGTGTAGCATAAATTTATGTATTATAATAATTATACGAAGAGAAAAAACTAAAAACGAAATGTCATCGAACGTTCAAGTGGCCGAAAAGAGGCAACGAGCGAGCTCCCCTCCTGCATTTTGGGACTGGTCTGGTCTCTCGAGTGGTAAATTCTGTACGTGTAGCGTAGTACATTCGAGTGGCAGGCATTATTCATTGATTTCAGTGCTTAAATCAAAAGAAGAAAAAAGAATTTGTTGTGCGCTGTTTATTGTTCTAAGGTTGCTCGGAGGAGCCTCAAGTGGCGGCTCTCCCCCTCGAACATTTCTCGCTCGAACAAATTTCTTCTACTCGTACTTAAAGCGAGCGAGAGAGAGGCAGCGAGAGTTAGAGCGAGAAGCCGACTATTACCCATAATGCTAAGGAGTGTCAATATTTTTGGAATGATATTTTAAAATTGAGTTTTCGTTAATTGCTCTACCCGAGAATATTCGATAAAAACAGGAAATCTCAGTGGCTCAGCCTCAAGTGTTTCCTCTTGCGCTAGGAAAGGGCAGAGAATTGGACCAAAGATAATTTCCAGAAATAAACTTATCTTTCAGTCAAATATCATCAGTGCTGCTTCGCTTTATGGTTTCTTATTTAAACTACTTTCATTCCGAGATAAATCTCATTCTTAAAATTCTTTCAATCGGCAAATTCCCAAGACAATTATCAGACATCTAGCACGCCAGCAACTTCTTAGCATTATTCTCTTAATGCTGATTAAAGTCTTAGATTACTGACAGATTACGCTCATAGATGAATACATTACTCAGATAAGTTCGACTCTAAATTTGATACAGTGCCAAAGTTGCGCTGCTGCTGCAGCTGACGGAAATTGACTCATGGCTCATGTCTCCCCCTCTGCCTCTCCTGGCTCTGGGGCGAATTATGCTCCAGGTGTGCATGCCATGACACGGCTGCCGAAACAACAAATTTATTAGAAATTTGTTGCACACAAACACAAACACAGACACAGACAGAGACAGGCACCGCTGTGGCACATTTAGGCAAACAAACAAATAAACTAATTTCATGACGCACACGCGCGCCTGCGCAGTTGTCAGCGCAAAAGCTGTGGCTGTGTAGCTGAGTATCTCTCTGTCTATGTGCTACTTACAATTGTAACTAGCCTAGCTGTAAGATTTTTCTTTCTTTCTACGCCCAAAAAGAGTAATAGAGAGGGAAGGAGAGAGAGCACGCGCGGTTCAACGACTCTTGCGGACTCCTCAACGAGGCGACGACAAATTGCGCTTTGTGCGAGAATTGCCCCTCTCCCTCCCCCTCCCCTTTGCTGTTTCCACGACGCATGCGTAGGTCTGAAACTTACTAAATTATTATTGTTGTATTTCATTAGTCAGCAGCGCACAAACCCCAAACCCAAACCCAAACCCAAACCCAAACAAATCCAAAATCCAAGCCTCTCCCTCCGCATACGAAATTGCGCAGCTGTGCATAGTTTTCAAATCAGAGCGAGAGAGAGAGAGACAAAGGGTGGGGAACGGTGGAATAATGGAACTGAAACTTTAACTGTGACTGCGACTGCGACTGCGACAGAGACTTCGCTTGCGACTGCGACTGCGACTGCGACTGTGTGTGACAGTCATAGATATCGTCAAGTCAAATGGATTACCTTTATCTTTGATTCCCCAACAACAACAAAAACACAGCAAAAGCCAAGAGCAAGCGGAGGAGAAACAATTGGAGCAGCTTCATACATACATAAGTACATATACATATATGTATACATACATTTTTACATATTCACATACATTAGTTGTAGTTACTTGTACTTCTTGTACAGCACACACACACACACACACACACACACCCTGGCTGACAAGTTCATTACTCTACGACGTTCGAGTCAACTCCTCCACCGCCTCGACCCATCAGCCAAACTTTGTTGCCGCCAGCCCAGCGACGCCTTATATGGTGGTGGTGCCCCATGCCAATTGTTGGTGTGTTTCTGTCTCTGAAAGACCAAATTGGTTTGTCACTCTGCCGGTTAAATGTCTGTGCCAGACAAAGAATTTACCCTACCGATGAAGAA